CACACATTCATACAGCACTCTGCTTCACACATTCATACAGCCCTCTATTACACACATTCATAGAGCACTGTACTACTACACACATTCAAACAGCACTGTACTGCAAACATTCATACAGCACTCTACTACACACATTCATACAGCACTCTGCTTCACACATTCATACAGCACTCTACTACACACATTCATACAGCACTCTAATACACACATTCATACGTCACTCTACTACACACATTTATACAGCACTCTACTACGCACATTCATACAGCACTCTATTACACACATTCATCCATCACTCTACTACACACATTCATACAGCACTCTGCTTCACACATTCATACAGCACTCTACTACACATATTCATACAGCACTCTAATACACACATTCATACGTCACTCTACTACACACATTTATACAGCACTCTATTACACATGTAGTGAGTCACGTGAGGTACGTGTCACTTGTTGTATGACAAATATATGAATTATATATGCATACAATATTCACGAGTTCTTCATTTTTCTGACTGTAAATGTCGTGCATTGAATTTAACAGAAATGTAACGAGAGACGTTGTTTATCTTTGACCCATCAAATGAATGGAATCATTTATTTTCAGAATCAAAGTTTAACATCAAACATTTACATTAATTTGGCAAAATATGAAAATAATAACAGACAGTTTCACAGAAAATGAACTTCAAATCACTCGGCGGTGATTTGAGGACTTTGCTTAAGATATTTCTAAAATATCTGTACTGATTTATGAGAGAGAGGTGGGTTTTAGAGTGAAAGGAGATTATCTTACAGAGAACTGTGTGAGGGAAGTTTAATCTGTTTAACCAGAAATTGCACGCTCCGTCAGATCCTCAGCCCGTCCACGGTACACTTTAGTCGAAGAAGAAGCCTTTACCTGGTTTGACGATAGATCAGCTCAGTAAGCATCCTTCAGACTGTTTCCAGCGCCTCCGTTAAGCACAGCTAAAAATCCTCGGAGAGTCGTGCGTGGTTAGCTCAAAACAGACTTATAATCCCAAACGTCCCTGGTTCTTCATAACTCCAAACTCTTCATAACCGGTTGCATCTCTCAGAACTCTCATTCTCTTGTCAGCTCTCATTCTACTTGAACTGGGCAGTTGTCACATTTTAAATGAGTTTACTTCCTGTTCAGTTTAGAGCTTTCTGATTCGTGGAAGGACCAGAAAGAGGTGTGTTTTTGACGTAAGGTGTTTATCAACAGTCGAGGTCAGAGAATGAAACTTGTTTAACATACAGAAAAGATTATTGCAGAAGCAGCAGACTTTCTGGAGTCTACTCTTGGTAATCTTCTGAAAAAGTTTAAACATGACATTTCTTCTTCAGTAAACATTTTAGTTGACCGAAGACCAACCTTTCACATACTTACGACAGCTTGCTCATTTCAGACAGAAAATCAAGAAAGGCATATTCAGGTGATTTCTTCTCTGAATGAGGAACAAAAATCATTACTTACTGTTTATGTAAAATAAAAATTAGTAGTTCTTTTCAACCTGTAAAGCATTGAGTGAACTAACACAATTTGATTATCAAAACATTTGTAAGACAGTAATGATTATAAAGAATTGTCTTTTCTGCTTGATTAATTCAAGAAAGAAAGTTCATCAGATGGTTCAGACTTATTCAGATCAATGAAAATAACAGTCTCTGTCCATCTGGTATATTTGAGGTCATCTGGTTCACTACACACACATTCATACAGCACTCTACTACACACATTCATACAGCACTCTGCTTCACACATTCATACAGCACTCTACTACACACATTCATACAGCACTCTAATACACAAATTCATACGTCACTCTACTACACACATTTATACAGCACTCTACTACACACATACATACAGCACTCTACTAGACACATTCATCCATCACTCTACTACACACATTCATACAGCACTCTACTAGACACATTCATCCATCACTCTACTACACACATTCATACAGCACTCTACTAGACACATTCATACAGCCCTCTACTGCACACATTCATACATCACTACTACACACATTCATACAGCACTGCATTACAAACATTCATCCATCACTCTACTACGCACATTCATACAGCACTCTACTACACACATTCATACATCACTCTACTACGTACACATTCATACAGCACTCTACTAGATCTCTACAAAGCTAATTGAACAAATAATTCTTTAGAGAATAATCAGTACTTTATCACATTCTTATATCAGTAGAATACATCAGAGGCAATGAGGGGTTCAGTGTGTTGCCCGGGGGCACTTCAGCACATGACTGCTGGTGGAATCGAACCCCCACTGCTCTCTTTGGAGGTCAACTGCTCTAACCACTCAACCACAGCTGCCTCGTCATGTCTCCTATGAAAAATGAAAATGCTCTGATCCATTTCACAAATCTGAACTTTGACTCGATTAAACTGGACTTAACTAAAGAAGCTAAAGCTGAGTGTGTGAAGTTAAAAAATAAAAATTAGTAAATCTGGCTAAAATGAGTAGAACACGAACTGAAATCTAAAAGCAGCAGAACTCTA